TTCTGACTCATAGTGACCCTGTAGGACAGAGTAGAACTGCCCCATAGGGTTTCCAAGGCTGTAATCTTTATGGAAGCAGACTGCCACCCCTTTCTCCCACAGAGCAGCTGGTGCCCCTTTTGGTTAGCAGCCGAGCACTTTAACCACAGTGCCACCTCAAAAAAAACCTGTTGCTGTCGAGTTGATTTGACTTATCGCGACCCTATAGGACAAAGTAGAACTGCCCCATAGAGTTTCCAAGGGATCCCAAATTCCACGCCCAAGGACCCTACATTAACACAGGTGCCAATAGTGATGGGAGTTAGAACTGCTCCCACATCTCCTACTCAGTGTTTCACCATTGGCTGCTCATGGGGAGCACTGTGAGCAATTAAAGACATACCAGATGCTTAGACCCATGTCAGACCGGCTCAGTCAGCTCTGGGGATTGGGATGGGCTCTCCTCTTCACCTGTAAAGTGAGGGGTTTGAGCAACTAATAAGAAACTATCTGTCTTCAAATGATACTACTCTGTAAGATGGTTTAACCAATGGATGCATTAACGGTAATGCAGAAAGAAAAATGTGAATAAAAAAGAAACTCACCTATATCCCAACTGTATTTGATTGCTTCACATAGATGGACACACAGGATTACGAAGAGAAAGGTCGGAAGGTCTTGGGGCATTTTACGGACTATGAAAAATGCTTTGACAGAAAGACTTTTCTGGCCTTGTTGTGAGGCCGTGAGTCCAGGGCTCTGTGGAGATTTGTTCGGGAGGTTGGGACCTTCATTTTACCACAGGTTCCACCTCTGTCCTTCACTGATGTTGCTCCTGTCCTCCAGAAACAACCAGAGCTGTACATCATCCACTCTGAGCCACTGTGGAAATACTTCTTGTCCACAGGCAGAATGGCGCCATCAGAGACAGACATGAAACTGCTGAGTATAAAAATATTCAGTTTATATTCTCTGTGAACAATGCGCACAGAATGACTGAGAGAAAGTCGGGCTGCAGGGGGGCTTTGTTGTTTTGCTAAAGTGGCCACAGGGGGGCAGTATAGTCCAATGTTCTTAACCCTTTCAGGATCCAATTATTTTCTCCTGTGAATTTTTTGTCGATACTATGTGTTTTCGCTAATGAAGGAATGCTGATTAAAGAACCAGTTCAGAATTTTTGTTATGTTATGGATTTCAATATCCATTATCTGGGATCACATGTATCCCAGCAGATCCTGGATGACGTAAATCCTGCCAAATATGAGTCAATGATAAAATAATTTTTTTTTAAATTTTTAAATATTATTCCTTGAAAATTTGCAAAATACGAGATAAAATATGAAGGCACCTGGCAATGACTGCACACACATTTTATTCTAGTCTCTTTCTTCGCCTTTTTAGTATTTTTCATGAAACTTTTTGAAACATGGTACAATGCATTCTTCCTTACTGCAAAAGCCAAGGGATTTTTTATATCAGGAAAATTACCACTACAATGCAGTCTTCATTACTGCAAAAGCAGTACTTAGAAGCAAAATAAATAAAACTAAAGGAATTTGAATCTCAGGAAAATTACCACTACTATGTATTCTTCATTATAACAAAAGCAGTACTAACAGCTAGGAAGCAGAAACAGCTGCCATAGAATACTGCAGAACTGGTCACAAGGGAGCATTCCACCTGCTACACATGGAAGCAATGATTGGGCACTAAGATTGAATGCAGAGTAAGAAGAACTTATATGAGTTCCAATTTCTTGAAAAGTACCACATCAATGCATTATTTCTTATTGGAAAGGCATTATTCACTGTTCAGAAGCTAGAAAAGCAGGAAGCCATTAACACCCTGGAAACAATGAACAGTGTAAAAGAGAAAATTACCACTATGACCGGAAAAAGACTGGCAATAGCTTATTCTCACCATAAGTACATTCTCACGAGAACATACCAAACAAAAAAAAAAAAACAAACCCATTGTGTAGAATCGATTCTGACTCATAGCGACCCTATAACGTCAGGAGGGTTTTCACTGGTTCAACAAATTTCTATTTACTAAATGCTAATAGAAAAAGGTAAGAGTGAAAAGTCTTTTGTGTTCTGTTCGATTGGCTTATGTGAAAGGTTCCCAGAAAGATTATCTTAGCTGTCGTCTTTATGCCTCAGGGCCCAGTTGATGTGTCCTTGTGAGTCCTCGTGAGCCCTTGTGAGCCCAGTTCCAGCTGGGTCACATTCTTTATGCTTAAGGACAGGGAATAATAACTCCAATATTATTTCCTAAATCAAGGGACAGGGAAAGAAGAGATGGAGAGCGGAGGGACCTTCAAAGCAAGGGAGGAGCTCAGAGGATCCAGATGCAGGAAAACAAGGAGTAAAGGAATGGCCCCAGGAAGTGGTTGGGATAGGCCCTGGAAAGACTGCAGACACCTCTGATAGCTTTTTCTTCATGTTAACATTAGATTCATTCTTTAATAAGATAGAAAGGGGATAAGGAGTACCTGGACACCAGCCTTAAGAATTGACATCTGCCAACTGCCCCATGGTGGCTGTCTTCATCATACGGGATGTATCTCGCTTCTCTTTGATTCATTCCCTATATTCTAGTCCCACCCCCTCGCATCCTTCCTTGGTTCATTCCACCTTTCGGTCAAAAGGATGTAAGATAGTCCTTCAAGTGTCATTGAGAGGCCATCCTAAGAACCAGTTCCGTCATCTGTCTTCTGCTCATGCGTCATCTCTGAGTGTGACCATGGCCAGTGCTTTAGAATCCTCTCTACCTGGGGCGCTCAGGATATGAGACACGTGCACTGCATCCAGGTGTTTACTATTACCATCACTGGATTGTAGCCAATGTTTTTGGAGGGATTGAGATGAAAGAAAAGAAACCTTTATAGCAACCAACCTCTTCCTCACATATCATGTGCCTGCAACTCAGGACTAGGGATAAAAGGCCAGGCCACTGCATTAATTGTGCAAAAAAAAAAAAAAAAAAGAAAAAAAAAAATCAAAGCACCAATAAATTAAAGTGTGTAGGGTTTATTTGAGCAGCTACTCTGTATGCATAGAAGGAGATCATTTTGTTTCTAAAAAGCAAACGGCTCGATGCAGGCTTGTTACAGTGAGACTTTTAATGGGAAGAGGAGGAAACAGAAAAAAATAAACCATTGTCTAGTCTCAACAGGATTGATTGAAATCCTGCCCCCCCTTTCTGAGATCAGCTGACATCGGGTTACTAGGTGGTTGCTATGGTCCCCATTCACTTGAAATTGCACAAGATAAACTTTAAATGACTTCATGGTTATCACAGTTGTCTTATCCCAGAGGGGGTTTGTGATTTTATGATTAGCTATCATTGCACTATTTCTTTTTATCTGTTTTTGGATTCATTTCAGATTGACCAGTGGCCTTTGTGAATGTTCCCACACATTCAGAGGAATCTGTCAACTCCTGTTTCTGTTTTAACACTTGTCTTCGGCATTTTCAAATACAGACAAATGACATATGCTTAAACACACATCAATTTTCTTTTTGGAAACATGTCAACTCTTTCGCTTAAGTAGGACAATTAAATGTGAAATTAATAAGTTTTCAGGTTAAATTACTCAGCAACCCCATACCTTTACAAGTATCATCTTTAAATACAAATGATTCTAGCAATTTGTCTCAGGGATAGGGCAAACTTTTAAAAATATTTTGAAGGAACTACAATTCTCTCTCTCTGTGTATATATTTTTCCCTACCCCCAAGGAAGTTTTCCAAAACAGCTACTTACGAAAAATTTTTCAAAAAAAATAATATTTTATTGCATTTTTGGTGAAAGTTTACACAGCAGATTAGGTTCCCGTTCAACAATTTCTACTCAGATTGTTCAGTGACATTGATTACATTCTTCACACCACAAATGGTGAGCATTCTCATTACTTCCGTTCCCACTGTTCCATTTCCAGTAATCTGGTTTTCCTGCCTGCTTACCTTCTCATCTTTGTTTTTAAAGTAATCATTGACCTTTTGGGACTTACAAAGCCTCTGCAGTTTTATGTGCTATTCTCTAAATGTACATGTGAATCGAAGAACAAGAACACAATACATTATTTTTAGACAGTAGTTTTTAGAAGATGTATATTTTCCGTCAAACCATTTGTAACTTTATATGTACATAAGAATGTACACATAGAGAAAAAGGCATCAGAATGTATTTGAATTGACCCAGAAACTGGGGTCATGTGCTACTTATGACTCTCAACAACCTTAAGAACAAAGAGAAAGATCTTCCATGCACTTAGCACAGACAACCACAGACCTCAAGCTTCATGTTTTGGAGCCTGAGAAAAATCAGTAACACCTCTTATTATTCCAACACCTTTAATCCCCTGAGTGAGTATCACTCCCGTATGATTCCCCACCTAATCTTCACTATGACAGTCACGGCTACCCAAAAGTTCAAAACAATTTCAGGTACTTACAAATTATATAACTAGCAACTGCAAAAAAAAAAAAAAAAGAAGTTATAACTCTCCCTTTGAAACAAGTGAGCCCCTTAGTGTTTGGGCAGGGTTTGTCTGCAGAAGGCTTCTGGAAAGCGTCAGTATCTAAAGCCCCCACACTCAGTCTGAAACACAGAGGTTGGTATGTTGTACTCTTTGTGGTTCACAGAGCTCAAGGCTGCCTGTTTCCAAATGAATGTGTTCCTTCTCCCCTTTGCCTCTCAATGTTGACTCCAGAAAATGATACCTACACTGGTGTGTCCTGTGCAGGGAGAATGTTGGTCATCCCGGCTTCCCTCGCCTCTTGGGAGACTCTGCTCTGCACCTACAAAGCTCTGCAGTTTAATGAACTGTCTGTCTTGGTTATCTAGTACTGCTGTAACAAAATAACACAAGTGGTTGGCTTTAAAGAACAAAAATTTATTTTCTCACAGTTTGAGAGGCTAGGAGTCTGAATTCAGGGAGCTGACTCTAGCAGAAGGCTTTCTGTCTCTGCTCTGGGGGAAGGTCCTTTTCTCAGCTTCTCTAGCCCTAGCGTTCCTCGGTTCCTTGGGGATCTCCACATGGCATCTATCTTTCCCCTTCTTGTGGTTGCTTTCTCTGTGTCTAATCTGCTCTTTTTATATCTCAAAAGTAGGTTTAAGACACATCTTACGCTGATAAGCCTCATTAACACAATAAAGAAAACCCTATTCCCAAATGGGATTACATTCACAGGTATAGTGGTTAGGATTCCAACACGTATTTTATGGGGACACCATTCATCCCATAACATTGTCTGATCATTCCTCACCTAGATCTCATATCTGACTGAAAATGTGTCTCTAGACCTCAAGCTCCCGTCTTCATAAGTCTAGTGTTTTGGATGTCTCCTTAAAGGCATCTTCAACTTGCACTCTCTTGAAGATAGGGGTTCTTTCTGTCTCTTCTTTGCCCCTCACCTCCAACCCAAATCCACCCCTAAGTCCTGCTGACTCTGCATCCAAGTGCTGCACAGATACGCCCGCCTTCTCATCCCCAGTGCCTCCACCCTAGTGAACCCCTCCTTATCCTGGCCTAAGTGTTTGCTGGGATCCTCACCCTAATCAGTCACCTTCCCAGGAATGTGCCTTCTGCAACCCTGGCCACTGCATCTCCCTGCTCCACTCACAAACTTTGGTGGAATGTGATCCAGCCTTGCCCTTCTTCCCAAGGGTCCTCCCAACCAGCCGCATGTCTTCCCCTAGCCAAGCTTTGCTCACGCAGAACCTTCAGCGCAGCCTGAAGTTCTGCTTTCCTCTCCTCTATCACACACCGTCCAACTCAAATCCTTCCTTCGTTAAGAAGCTTTCCCAGCTCTCACCGGCTGCAGGCTTTCACCTGGCTCTGAACCCCTATGGAGCTTAAGCGCCATATATACCTTCCAGGGGAAACCACACGTGGCAGATGTTATTCCTTAGCTGGGTGTTCATGACTTTTCTCCCCAAGGCAGGACAAGGACCTTGTGTTAAGCATATTTACAACCTGCACACTGGCTCGCTCAAGGCAAGAAATGCTACAATAAATTTCTTGATTAATTTTGTTATTCCTGTTCAGGTATCCAAACTCAGGAATCAGCAATTCTCTAAGGACTTTTTTCTTTTTTTTCTGTAATAAATACTTGCAGTGAAGGAAGAGATTGCCAATAAGTAGATGTATGTGGAGGGAAGATGAAAAGATTGCTATTTCATCAATGTATTTTGATTAGGCTTTCTAGAATGGATGGGCTTAAATATCTAATATTTTTAAAACAGATGCCAAAGAGATGGGTGACACTCAGGCCCTCTGTGGCAGTAACTTCCCTTTTGAAAAGGTCTCTCCCGCCCACAGGCTGTGTGTAGCTGAGCCATGCGCATGACAAAGTCCAGCTCACAGACCTGTAGAGATTTCCTGCTCCCCAGTGGATCGAGTAAAAACTGAGTTTACTCGCTCGGGAGCCTCCAGCTGGAAGGATGGACAATATTTGCAGAGGCGTTTGGCGATATGCTTTCGGAAAAACACCAAGAGGTAGTTTCTGAACTTCTCCCCGACGAAGGCGTAGATGATGGGGTTGATGCAGCAGTGTGTCATCCCAAGAGTCTCCGTCACCTGCATGGCTTGGTCCAGCCTGTTAGAGCTATTGCAATTATCCAGGCCAAAGAGCTCCTGGAAGGTGGTCAGGGCAAGGACGATGTTGTAGGGAGCCCAGAAAAGGAAGTAGACAATCATGATGGCGAAGATGAGCCTCACAGCCTTGTGCTTCTTCTTCTCGTTTCGACACCGGAGGAGGGTTTTCAGGATTCCCGAGTAGCAGATGACCATGACAAGCAGTGGAAGCACCAAGCCCAAGATGGTTATCTTTAAAGTCTGGAAATTCTTCCAGAAATGATACTGACTTGATGGAAAATGAGGGCTGCATGTATAACGAAGACCTTCTTTTTGGGATCTGGTAAAGATGATTCCTGGTAAAGAGACAAGCCCAGCCACCACCCAGCTGACCCCACTTGTCACCACCCCAAAGGTGACCGTCCTGGCTTTTAAAGCAAACACAGCATGGACGATCGCCAGGTACCTATCAATTGTCAGGAGGATGATGAAGAAGATTCCACCAAAATAGCCAGTGTGATACAGCCCAGTGAATAATTTACATGCTGAATTCCCGAAGACCCACCCATTTGTAGCATAGTGAGTCCAGAACGGGAGGGTGAGAAGAAACAGCAGGTCAGAGATGGTCAGATTGAGCAGGTAGATGTCAGTCATGCTCTTCAGCTTTTTGCAGTTTACCAGGGTGAGGACGACCAGCATGTTGCCCACAAAACCAAATATGAACACCAGCGAGTAGAGTGGAGGCAGGAGACGGGCTGCGATTTGCCTCACGTCCAGTTTTTGGCAGGGCTCCGACGCACTGTAATCCATGTCGTAGTACATCGGACTTGTCGTTTCATAATCCATTTTGCTCAATCCTGTGAATAAAGAAAAAGTCACCAGAATGTATGTGAGTCCCTGGGTGGCACATTCAGCTAAGCTCTTAACTACTAGCCGAAGGAACCCACCTACAGAGGTGCCTTGGAAGATCTGCCTGGTGATCTGCTTCTGAAAGGACACAACCTTGAAAATCCTATGGAGCACAGTTCTACTCTGCATATATCGGGTTGCCATGAGTCAGAAATGACAACTAACAACAACAGAATGTGTGTACCTTAGCTCCCTGGGTGGCACAAACGGTTTGCACTTGTCTACTAACCTAAACGGTGGCAGTTCAAACCCAGCCAGCAGCGCCATGGAAGAAAGCCTTGGTGATCTGCTTCCGTAAAGATTACAGCCAAAGAAAACCCTATGGAGCAGTTCTACTCTGCAACACGTGGGGTCACCAGGAGTCAGAATCAACTCAAAGGCAACAGTTTTGGTTGTACTTAGTGGTCTGCCATGAATACAAACCGTGATACACATTATGTTTCCAGCTTGATACGTAGAATTCTGCATTTAACTGAGCTCCCTTTTTTGGCCAAATGCTGAACTTTTGCAGTGAGGGGAAGGTTTGCTGCTAGCTTCTCTGTGCTGCCCACTAGGTGGAGAGCTTGGCTTGTTGGGAAAATTCAAGAAAACATCATCTCACTAAATTTAATCTGCTAGTTTTCTATAGCAATGTGGAGCAAAGCGCTGATGACAATTTCAAGGAACGGAGTCAAGTCAAGTCAACTCCAGCATTGCCTTGCAGTCTCGCCTTCCCTGAGTTAGATCACAGAGCATGCAGAGAGCGTGCTAGTACTACTGTTAATGTAGAGTGCGGTCACGGTTCTAAGCTTCACCCGTATTCATTCATTTAATCCTCAAGGCCACCCTAGGGAGCAGGTGACATTACTGTTTCCATTTTGCACACAAGGACCCTCGCCTCCACCCTAGGCGCAGAGAGGGTGAATGTTGCTGAAAGCTACCCAGCTAGTCAGCAACCGATTTTGAACGCAATTCTACTCTGCCTCTCACTCCTTGGAAAAGGAACTAAAGAGCACGACCCTCAACCTGGTGCCTCCATGTAGTCAGAATGAAGTGGGCTGATGCCCAAGCCCCCAGAGAAAGTCATAGAAGTCAACAGTCAATTTGTAAAATCCAGATTGCCATCCTACCTTCTCTCTAGGGTTCGCGTTTGTCATCGTTCCTGTGTTGCCACAATTAATAACCCTTAGAAACACATCTATCATAACAAGAAAATAAATATCATACGTTCTGGGTTAGTTTCTTCCTTTCATAACCATGTGGCTGAGCCAGTCCTCTTAAGTTTCACTTCTTTCTTTTTTTTACTCATTTATTTTTTTGAACAATATTTTGTTACGTTTTAGATGAAAGTTTACACAGCAAATTAAGTTCCCTTTTAACAATTTTTATACAAATTGTTCCATGCCATTGGTTACAATTTTCACAATGTGTCAGTATTCTCATTTCCATTCTGTTGGTCCTGTTTCCATTAATCTAGATTCCTTTCCCCTCCTTGCCTTCTCGTCTTTGCTTGCGGGTAAATGTTGACCGTTTGGTCTCATATAGTTGTTGTGTAAGGGAGCACATTACTCTCAGGTGATATTATTTATTTTATAAGCCAATCTATTATTTAGCTAAAAGGTGACCTGCAAAAATAGCTTCAATTCCAGGTCCAAAGTGTATTTTAGGGCAATAGACTCAGGGGTTCCTCTAGTCTCTATCAGTCCAATATGTCTGGATATTTTTTTTTAGGAATTTGAGTTTTGTTCCACATTTTTCTCCCATTCCCTCCTGAATCTTCTATTGTATCCCTGGTCAGAAAGGTTGGTATAGCTTTTACTTCTTTAGCTGAGAGTTTTCTTTGATCAGCCCTTGTGAGTCTCAAACTCCTCGTACTAATTAGATTAGATTAGATTAGGCAGCCGGGAGAAGCACCCAGACAAAATAACAGCTTTAAATTCTGAGCCAGAAAAGGAATCATACAAAAATGTGCTCTGGAATTGCTATCTTAAAGGGAATTTGTTTTTGGTAATTCAATATTAATTTGGGTAACTATTAAGCTTCCCCCTTTTTTAGGAACAGACAGAGAAGAACAGGCTTAGACCCAACCTTGGGCTGTGCCAGCCTTCAAAGGGCATCCCATGCAGGAGATTTTTGTTCTCCTTAACAGAAGATCATCTCTGCCAAGATTGCAGCAAAGACCCATCTCTCAGAAAATCTTTCTTTTGAGGGTTTTGTTTTTCTTTTTTAAAAATAATTTGGCTCCCTTTAAAATCTTTCCTTTGAGATCATGTTCTGTACCTCTGATGTTATCACAGACTGAAGCTCATTCCAAATTCTGACTGTTCTTTATCTTAAAGATTATATTTTCAGATAGTTCTTTGAGCACCTGGTATTTGTCAAATGTCTTCTATGGGTTTCCTGCCAAGGCTTTTACTCATCCCAGAAGCCGAGCTAACTAATAGGCAAAGTGACTAAGAGGTGACTTACCGGGGAGAGTTTCTTGTAGGGGAAACGGATGTCTCAGCTCCTCTGGCCAGCTGAGCTGTGCAAATCAAACATATAGACAGCAGAAAAGTAGGAAATGCTCAGTTTCTTCTGAAGAAGGGCGGAGTTCTAATGAATAAGTATATTGCAGGAAAAAAAAATCAAAGGGCAGTTCTTTATTTCTGTAAATTGAGCTTAAAATAGGCTAGAGAGTAGACCTTCAGTCTGAAAGTTAATTCACGCGCCTCCTTTTGTTCTCTGCTCATGGAGCTACACAGACTGTGTTAGAAAATTGAAAGAATGAAAGGGTATTAGAACTAGAAGAACACCGACAGCCATCTAGTCTAAAACTTTCGTTTTCCCAAAAGTCAACTATTTTTCCCTCTTAACTAAAACATCTGGTTGTCTGGAAGGTTTAAACTACAGTTTCGCCTGTGAGCTAAACAAGTTTATCCATCTTTCTCTAGGACTGGGTGTCTAGTGGGGCACATCATTATGAATTTTCCCCCTAAACAGTCACTATTTTGCAGCCCTCCAAACCAGACAGCATTTATGAGTGCTGACACTTTGCCAGTCCGGATATATAGGTGACAGGGTTCTGACTCCAAAGACACATCTGTATGGAACTATGAGAAATTTTCAACATGAAGTCGGCAGCAGTTGGCAGAAGTATACGGTCAAGTTCAGAATTATGTGACGCTGCTGCATGCAGTCACATCAAGCTTTCTTGGTGGTTACTTATCTAAAACCTCAGCTATTGACATCAAAGCTGAGAACACAGCAGAGCCGAGGTTTCACCTGGCCCTTCCTGAGCCACAAGACCCCTTTCTGGGCTTCCATTTCTGTAGAATAAGGAGCTTTGGCTTATGATTTAAGGGGAGGCAAAGGGGCCCCCAAACAGCAAAATTATATGCCCCCAAATCTACGGAGGCAGCCTAATGCAGGGGCTAAGCAAGTAACCTCTGCAGTCAAACTGCCCGAGCTTGAAGCCTGGCTCTACTCTTAGCTTCCTCATCTGTGCAATGGGCTGAATAACAGTTGCTTCATTGGCTTGTTGCGAAGATTACCTGAGGCATCCATGTTCAGCATTTAGCACATAATATACACTCAGTAGGAGCCCTGATGGCACAGTAGTTAAGAACTGGGCTGCTAACCAAAAGGTTGGCAGTCTGAATTCACCAGCCATTCCTTGGAAACCCTCTGGGGCAGTTCTACTCTGTCCTATAGGGTCTCTATGAGTCAGAATCGGCTCAACAGCAATGAGTTTTGTTTTCTTGTTTTGTTTTTTGATACACTCAATAAACATCAAACTCTTAGTTACTCATTCAATAGTCCTTTCTTAGAGTTTATTTTAGATAAAATCCTAACAAAATTGATTCACTGGGATCCTTGTCTAAAGCAGATTAGTATAGTTGTCCCTCGGTATCCATGGCGGATTGGTTCCAGGACTCCCATGGATACCAAAATCCTCGGATGCTCAAGTCCCTTATATGAGATGGTGTGGTATTTGGATATAAATTTGCACTGCCTCCCGTATACTTTAATCATCTCTAGATTACTTACAATGCCTAATACAACCTAAACGTAAATAATTGTTTCATCACAATGAAAGACTTGCTCTGGAAGGCAGCCTTTCTCTTCTATGAGTTTCTTGAGCTCTTCTGGGAACGCTGATGCTGCCCGGGCATCAGGTGATGCTGATTTGCTGGTGACCTTGAAGTTCTGGAGGCTGGAGTGCTTCACAGACCTGGCCAGCCATCCCTTCCTAGCCTGACACTCCTTCCTCTCTCTCTCCTCAACCCCTCACACGTAGCCTTGGAGGAATAGCTTTGACCACTTCATTGCTTTTTAGGAGCCCATTTTTCACAGAAACAAAGGATGCACACAACACAAGCAGTGAAGGAATGAGCCCCGAGGTGAACAATGCTCAAACAACGAGTGCTGGAGAGAGACTGAGGATCTGTGAGACAGCGGGAGGCTACAGCAGGGGATGCCTACACATCCCTTCATTTGCATGCATTCAGCGCAGTGCTCAGAGAGCTGCAAATTCAGGATTTGTTTTTTGGAACTTTTTTTTTCTATCCTTGGTTGGTTGAATTGGCAGATGCGGAACCTGCGGATAAAGAGGACTGACTGTATCAGCAAAACTAGGAGCTGAAAGGGTGAAGTCAGTGGTTGGTGCTTGGAGAATAGTAAGCAGTGACCCCTAGGGCAACATCAGAAAAGCACAGAAATAGCCCAATCATCAAGACTCACCCCGTGCAAGGGCATCTGTCTGTGTCACAACAGAGTCCAGTAACCAGTGATCATACCAAGGACAGTGACTCATTGAGAAAATATTCACGTTCATCCTGTATGTGCAATTCAAGAGCCAATGATGAGGAACTGGACTCTGTAGTCTCACTATTGGGTTGAAATCCAGCTTCATTATTTACTGCTTGACTGACTAAGTCATTGAACCTCTCTAAGCCTTAGTTTCTGTATCTGTAAAATGGGGGCAAAAAACAAAAACAAAAACCCTACTCGATAGTCTGTGGTTAAGATTGAATGATGTAACAAGTGTAGGGCCTTTTGAGGATGTCTGCACACAGCAGCCCTCAGGGGGCTGTTCAAAGCAGAGAAATGTATGCTCTAGAAAGAGTACACAAAATGGGTAACAAATAAATTAGTGTAAAATTTCACACAAAATAGGCAACATGAATACAATTTTGGTTCTTTGAAGAGTAGGCTTCTGGTCACTGGTAATGCACTTGTGTGGAACTCTCGGATACTGCTGGACAAACGTGCGCTAGTTTCCTATGGCTGCGCTAACGACGTACCGCAAACTGGGTGGCCTAAAACAACAAAAATTCATTCTTTCGGTTATGGAGGCTGGAAGTTCAAAACAAGATGTCGGCAGGGTCTTGCTCCCACTGAAGGCTCTAGGAAGAATCCTTCCTTGCCTCTCTCCTTGCGTCTGGTGGTTACCGTCAATCGTTGTTCCTTAGCTTGCAGCTGCATGACTCCCATCTCTGTCTCTCGTCACATGACCTTCTCCCCTGTGAGTCTCCTGTGTCTTCACATGTCCTTCTTATAAGGACACTAGGGTGGTTGGATTAGAGTATCCTCATTCAGTATGACCTCGGCTTAACTTAAATAATTACATCTGCAAAGACCTTATTTCTAAATAAGGTCATACTTTGAGGTTATGAGTGGATATGATTTTTGGAAGTGTGAGGACCCAGTTCAATCCAGTTCAAAATGTTGTATTTCTGATTGTGACCGTGGTTGGCTCTTTCTTTCACCACATGAAGCACGGCTTTGCGCTGTGTTCTGTGTGTCTGTTGTGGGGTGGAGGAGGACGTGAAGGCATGCCCACCCCCAGAGGGCAGTGTGGAGTAGTGGAGCAGACTCAGTCACACGGACCATGCCTTTGACTCTCTATGTGACTTTGGGCAACACCTTCCCCTCTCTGAGCTTCCATTTCCTCATCTGCCAAGTGACGGGCTAGACCTGGGGTTCCTAAGGTGGCTTCCACCTTAAATACTAAGTGACTCCATGGCCAAATTGGTTTGGAAAATACACACTGGGGGGAATTAGTGTCAGGTTTCACAGGCTGAAAGGCTTTCTAGGTATAGAGATGAGTTCGGGTCATCCCTGGGAATGGGGGTTCACCCCAAAGATGCGTGGAATATTTTAATGCCTTATCAAATGCATGCATTTAATAAATGAAACATTCCAGATACAGTAACCCAAACAAAAACTAGCCGATTACCATGCTTATGACTTAGCTCCCCGGACTCTGCTTCTCCTTTTGCTTTGTTTCCCCCTGCCCCCCCAGATCACATGAACTAGTAAGCTCTCATTATTATATGTATTGCATTCAGCCTCCCCATGAGAAATGATCTTTTGATCAGTTGGTCACTCTAGGTTCTATGCTCATCTTGGAAGAGTCTCATGCCAGGTCTCCACTGGGGCAGATTTAGGTGGCTGCCTTTGGGTTAGGTGCCACGTCCAGTCATTGAGCTCATATTCCAACAGTTGCTTCACCCTCTTTTCCCATTTCTGGCCACTGCTCAGGAACTAGCTTGGGTTTGAAGGGCCAACTACATGAGCACAGGGAGCTGCAGCCCTGCCTGACAGCAGCTCATCTGAAAATACCTGGGGCTCGAGCTGACTCTAGGTCAGCGAGAGGGCTGTAAAAGTAGCGAATGAATCTTTTATTTTTTAAAGCAAATGTCTAATTATAAAATCAATACATGCTTATTGTCTGAAACTGGGGAAAACAGAAAAATAGGAAGTAAAAATAAACAGCTGTACTCTCACCACCTCAGAACAATCCTATTAACACACATTATGTTCAACCCAGAACTTTCCCCATGCATACTATTTTGATCAATTGTTTTCACATGGATACCATTCCGTGTGCTGTTTTTTTTTCTTTCTTTTTTGCTAAACATTAAAGTATAAGCATTTGTCTATCTTATTAAAAATTGTTTATAAATGTAGTTCTTTAAATGTTATTTTTTGATTGAGTGCTATGGATTGAATTGTGTCTCCCAAAAATGTGTGTCAACTTGGCTAGGCCATGATTCCCATTATTATGTGATTGTCCACCATTTTGTCTTCTGATGTGATTTTCCTGTGTGTTGTACATCCTGCCTCTATGATGTTAATGAGGCAGGATTAGAGGTGTTATGTTAATGAGGCAGGACTCAAGCTACAAGATTAGGTTGTATCTTGAATCAATCTTTTTGAAATATAAAAGAGAGAAGCAAGCAGAGAGACAAGGGAACCTCCTACCACCAAGAATGAAGAACCAGGAAGGGAGCGTGTCCTTTGGATCTGAGGTCCCTGTGCTGAGAAACTCCTAGACCGGGGGAAGATTGATGACAAGGACCTTCCTCCAGAGCCGACAGAGAAAGCCTTCCCCTGGAGCTGATGCCCTGAATTTAGACTTTTAGCCTCCTAATTTGTGAGAGAATAAATGTCTGTTTGTTAAAGCTCTCCACCTGTGGTATTTCTGTTATGGCAGCACTAGATAACCAAGATGCTAAAGTATAACTCAGATGCAGCAAAGTGCATTAATCCTAGGTGTACAGCTTGGCGCAGTTTTAATATACATCCACCCATGTAACTACCACCCAGGTTGAAATAGAGAATATTCCTATTATACCAGATGATGTTCTTGTGACCTTCCCAGAGGTAACTCAGACCTCTAGCATCACAAATTAGATGAACTGTTCTCTAACTCCTGCAAATGGATTGACAGAGTCTGTTCTCTTATCTCTCTGACTTCTTTCATTCAACACAATGCCATAACTATATTTAAAAATCAAACCAAACCTGTTGCCATTGAGTCAATTCTGACTCTTAGCAACCCTATAGGACAGAGTAGAACTGCCCCATAGGGTTTCCAAGGAGTGGCTGGTGGATTTGAGCTGCTGACCGTTTGGTTAGCAGCTGAGCTCTTAACCACTGCTCCACCAGGGCTCCTGTAACTAGCAGAGCCCAAATTCTCACCTTCCATGCAGGAGACCTGGATTAAATTCCTGGTCAATGCATCTCATGTGCAGCACCAGTGGAGGCTTGCGCGTTACTGTGATGCTGAACAGGTTTTAGTGGAGCTTCCAGACTAAGATGGTCTAGGAAGAAAGGCGTGGTGATTTATCTCCAA